TTTTTTTTTTAATTTCTTCAAACATTTACATATTTTGAAATTCAGTGGCAGCGCTACACACCTTCGGCAAAAAAATTCTAAAAAATCAACGGTAATTTTTAGCCACTTGAAACTTGCGCATTATTAATGGGCTATAAAACTGTATACTCATAAAAAATTTTAACACTTCTGATAAACAAGTTTGAAATTTTGATAAATCTTTTCAGTGTTCTACAAGATTTCAAGCTTATACTTTAAGTTTATATGGTATTTGTTAGGGAATGAATTTTTTTTAATTGAAAGATTTTAAAAATTAAAATAGAAGCATACATAGGTGGCAAACAATATCATTTGGTCCATTTGTATGTATGTATAAATATGTATAATCAACGACTTTTTAATTTAATTCTTGTGAAAATAACAGAAGATGGCTTTATCTTGTTTTTTAATAAAGTTTTTTTATGCTTTTACGTGTTTAAATAATGCTACGATCTTGGTTCATGTTTTATACAAGGACTTATTTATGTAAGTTAACAAGAAGATGTAACTACATCACAAATTGTGTTCGCTTAAGTACCCAACCCGCCTAAGTACCTCAAAAAGCTGAAATTTTTCGTGAGGTACTTAAGCGGGTTTTACTGTAAACCTAAGAATGACGGCGTCTTGCGCTTATTTGCAAATAGTACCACTAATCAATACTTATTTGCGTGATTTAGTTATTTGCAAATAAAAAATTAACTCAGCGTTTATACGGCAAAGTGTACCATTTTGCAAATTGTTATTTGCAAATAAGACGTGCGTATAGACGTAGTAATAGATGAGTAACATTGACGACAACGCAACCAGCAACATATAAGTTTCAACCGCCCAGCTCTGCATCCCTTTTGCAGTAGTTCAGAGACAGTTCTGAAATTTGTAGGGCAGAACTAGCGCTTTGCCAGACTGTCTCAAAATTTTGCCGCAGAGGTCGCTTGCAAATAACTGTGCAAAAGCCACATATGGAGTGAGGTGACAGAAATGCTGCAGCTGTTGGTACTGCGAATAACTCCCCAAAAGTCACGTAGAGAGTCAAATGGGACACATGGAAACACCAAACAAATTTTGTGGCTCGAGATAGATGGTCAAACTACTGGCATAACCGCCGATAAGAAACTTATTTTCATACTGTACTCAACCCCACGTACAACTTACACTAGGGTTTGTGGATTTTTGATGCGATGGATTTGCGAAGCTGTAACGCATAGCCCAGCAGAAAATTTCGGAGGGCTTAGCATGTGTAGTGCAGCAGAAAATGTTTAATTTCATTAGAAGCACCCTGTGTTTACTTGCTATTGCAAATGGTTGCACACATTTAGGCATATGCAGGGTAAGAGGAAATGCGGTCAAATGATTATTACTTCCGATAATGCAAACTCCGTGCACGCATACGACTATGTACCTATATTTATACATACTCAAGTTTGTATGTACATACATATGCATGAACTCATTTGTTGCAAGTAGTTTTGATATTCGTAGCATGGCTTTAGGCATAGGTTTAGTAGTCTATTGATAAAAAAGGAAGGCAAATATTTTAACAATTCTGAAAACATTTTAATTGGGTCTGTTGATAGCTGATGAACATATAAGAACATATGTATATATACATTTGTATGGATGATATAATAGCTCTGATCCAATACTTTTCGTGTAAAATCCTGTTAAAACGTCAAACATTAAAATTACTCTATGAAGTGAGAGCAAAAAGTGAGTAACAGCAAAAAGTACGGGAACAAAAAAAGCAGCGAGTAAAATCTTGCAACTTCATTTTCTACACAACTCTCCAAAAATTGCTCTCAGTACAGGATTTTGGAGTACGCGATCTTTTTCCCGTAACTTAAGGAATGTATATATCGAAGTTTTCCCAAGCGTTTTATTAAAAACATTAAAATATAAAACTTCAAAACGTATTAAAAAATTTAATATGAGTCACATTAAAATCTGATTTCAAATTCCTTGTAGTCCAAACGGTTATGTATTATAGAGTTCCGCAATAAACATTTCTCAATTTTGCAACCAGGGGAGCCTTCTTTGGAAAGCCAGCTTGTCCTATAAAAAAAATATGTTGGTACGATGTATTTAAAAATATTTCCAAGTAAAACTTACATTTTATCAATTTCCTCTTTCGGGCCCTGCATTTTCCCTACTATAGTTCCTTGTTTGGAGTTTTTAACCCATCCTTTGATTCCGGCCTTATTGCAGAGATCTCTCGTATATTTAGTAAAGTAGCAGCCTAATAAAAAGCATATATGTAGATAATATTAGTGTTTTTGGAGACAAATTTTATTTTATATGTATACATATGTTATTTGCACAAAGCGTGTATGCTGGCAAATGCATTTTTGTGGAACTATTACACTTTTTTTTTGCTGGTGAGAATTAAAAACTACATTACTACAAGTAATTTCTATTCAAAAAAAGAAGCTGACTTCAATTCTCATTTACAAATTTAAGATTATGGTTAATTTCTTCATGGTCCAAATTAGTATGGGACCACCTGTGAGGTAACACAGGTTTTATAAAAAGAATTATAGAAATCGGTTAACGTGGTCCAAAGTTATGTGGTAACATACATAAAAAAATATATATATATATTCCGACGAATTGTTAACCTTCTCCTTTTTGTGACGCCTGTTAAAAAGACTAGTAATTCTATATTATCAACACTTTAAAATTTTTCTTTCTTTTGTGAATGGTGGAAGTTACTACAAAACAGCAGTTTGAGGTGTTAATACAAATGGAGCTGAATTTTTAAAGAAATATCAGATTTGTATGAAATTTGAAATCCAAGCCTGATTGCAAAACTTTAATCAGTTATCAAAAATTCAAAATGGCGGATCCAATAAAGATTCGAACGCCTCTTTTTAATTTTTGAAATCTGATTTTAGTTTTGTAATCAGCCACTCGAAAAACCTCTGGATATAAAATTTCATAAAAATCTGAATTTTTTTTAAATCCATCCTCCATTTTGCATTCGCCATTTAAAATTTTTAAGAACTGACACTGACTTCAGATTCGTAATGAGCAAAAACAAAAACCATTGGATACACCCAGAAAAAGTTTAGTTATAATAACCAAGATAAGACTAGATAAATATCTAGTTGGTGAAAGTCTGAAAATTACTTGAGATCAGAGATGCCCAACAAACTATATGAATCGATTTCGTTTCGTTAGCGAGGAAAAAAAACGTATCAAAATAATTTCGTTACGTTTCGGAGCTAAATTAACGAAACAAAACTCAATCGTTAACGTTCAAACGAAATAAATCAACGCATAGTTTTCATTTTAATCTGTGTTGGCAATACCTAAGCGACACGCATTGCTCTCGTATTTAATATCTACAAACAAAGGCGAACGAAGTTAGCGTACTTGAAATTTGAAAAATAATTATAAAAAGTCAACAACTTAACCCCAAAATGAGAAGGAAAAAGGAAAGTTTTATCCGGAATTTGTATAAACAAAATACAGATGCCACGATGGCTTGTAAAATATGTGGAAAGTGCTTAACCACTGACCACCTCGGAAACCTCAAATCGCATCTTCAACGAAGGCATATTTGACGGTTACAAAGGCGATGAGCAAAAAATCAGTGAATTTGCGAGTGTAAAACAAAAAATTTTATTGAAAATGTGTCAGAACGACGTTAAAAATTTGTGTGCTGCCTTCATCACTGAGTGCGGTCTCCCTTTGCAAGTTTTTAACAGCAGCGCTTTTCAAACATTATTAGGTCCTATCTGCGAACAAGTGAATTTAAACAAAATTAACAGAAATAATATAAGTCATATTTTACAAAAAAAAATGGAAATAGAAATACAGTACTTACGGAATTTTTTCAAAAATAAAATATTTTCAATAAAAATAGACAGCGAAGGGAAAATTCCAGTCAAGACTCTAGCCGTAAAAAATTTCAAAGAGCAGCACACGGCGGATAATTTAAAGCAATTAATTTTGGAGACATTGGAAAGGTAAGTGCACAAAAAATGGTCTGAGTTCCTGCGATTTATATTATTAAAGTTATTTGTTATCCTTTATATGTAGATATGAAATTAATATTGAGCAACTATACAGTATCACCAGCGACAACGGTCGAAATATGGTTAAGTGTGGTTCCCTTTTACAAGTCGATAATGAAAATGAAGAAAGTACAAATATATTAGATTTTGACTCTGATGATGACGAAAGCGATAATATTGATGTAACGTGCGATACCATTTTTGATGATCCAAAGTTCGACGATTGTATGACCTCTCACTTCAGTAAGTCCAAGTAATCAATTACCTCTCAATACCATGATAAAACTACTATGAGGTAAAACCATGACAAATAAAATAATTTTAAAATTCAGTTTTTTATCATGCCCAATACGTTATACCGTGCGGCACTCCAAAATACATGGGAAGTGATGTTATTTTTTGTTGTAGGTCTTGTCGAATAAAACAAGAATCGAAATATGAAATTTGCCAGACACCCCCAAAAATCTTGACTTATGGTCAAAACCCAGTTTTTAGTACCTTACTCGACAAGACATACCAGAAAATTTACATCACTTCCCAGGTATTTCTACTTCATTCTTCTTTGTAGCACTATGTTATCATTTTAATTTCAGATTCTCTTGCTGTTATAAGATGTGCCGCTCACACGATACAATTGAGTGTATACGATGTAATAAAAAACGAAAATGTAAAATTGAAGTTTGAAAAATGTCGATTAACTGCAAAAAAGCTTCGCACATCGACTTCTGGTCAATAATAATTTGTTACCACCGATAGCTGACTGCCCCGCCCGTTGGAGCTATTCATACGATTTGGTGAAGCGCTTAAAAGCTGTTCGAGATTTCGTTGATCATAATTTTGAAAACTCAGATGTAGACTGGAGTTTTGTAGACGATTTTTTCAGTACTTTTGCTCCTATAAAGGCAACTACAGAAGAGCTACAAAACCAAAACTTGCTTTTTGGCGACTTCATAGCAATGTTTTTGGAAATGTGCTTGGCCATAAAAAAAAGTTCCGATGCATCTGAAATTTCAAGACTTTTATTCCATTCGATTACTAAAAGGAAGAAAATGCTACTAAGTAATGCAACAGTAGCGGCAGCCTTTTATTTAGACCCCAGATTACATCGTTTATTGCTAAGTCCTGAATTTGCGCATATGAGAGTAATGGCCGTTGAGTATTTGAAAATGCTACATTTAAAAGCTAGTCCGATTTTTGCTCAGGTATTGTTTATGATTATTGTTATTTTCAATATCACCAACGCTATATTATTTTTTCATATTTTTTGCAGTCAGCACAACCCCACATCATTTCTATAACAGAAAGCGAGAGTAGTATCGAAGATACAAGTACCGACTTACTTGGTGAATTATTAAATCAAATAAGTTCACCTACATACAGCGCCTCATGCACTTCAGAAGCTTATTTGGCTATTGAAACATTCAACGAATTCACCGACACTAAAACCAATTTAGCCGACTTTTGGGAACGAAAAAAGTTTTCACACATAATTTTGTATCAGCTTTCTCAAATTATTCACGCATATATATTTATTACATGCATAATTAGTATAAATGTAAATAAAAACGCGGTCCAAATAGAAATTCTAATACAAAATTGAAATTAGGCTGAATTCCAAAACGGCAATTGCTTTGCATACGTGCGAAGTACAATGTTCCATAACGCCGAACTACAAAATATTGACAATGTATACTTTTCCAAAACGCATCCGAAAAGTTATCGAAACGCATCGCTGGAGCAATCAGCGCATCAGAAACAAAGTTGATGCTTCGTTTGTTATTGGTTACCATTGGTGTTTTAGAAATGGAAAATTCAGAAAAATTGTTCATTGCTATATTGAATATTTAAAATATGCAATGTATATGGTTGCAATGTGTCACAACTCTGCATATACAAACAGTATGAATACCGCAGTATAACAACATCCTAACATTGTATTGATTCGTTTTAGAAGTCAGCCTTATTTACGTTATGCATACATATCGCACATCTGCTGCAAGAGTGGCAATTCAAAATAATATAAAATCGAGTTAAGTATGCAGAAATTTGATAGCTCTATCGATTACTAGTACCTCACTAGAACAAAATATGTATTCATTTTACAATGCGAGTTTTTCATTTTTGGATCATGACACTCTTGTAGCAAATGTGCAATATGCCGTGCTCCTGCCGAAAGTGTCGCGTCAAAGCATAGAATCGCCCATTTGAAAAGTTAAGCCTATATAAAGCTAAGATGGCCTAATCTTTAAACAAAAGAAATTTTAATATTTTAACATTTGGGTTTTCGGTCATTCTCATCATAAATAGTACCGCTTACTCAATTGCTTGCTTTGCTTGTTGTTTCATTTAATCGGCGGCACAAGGCTTTCATTCATTTCATTTACAGCACTCTTTAACGTGCTTGGTGTACGTGGGGCGAAACACCCAAAAAATTCCAAAAAAGAAAACTAATTAGCTCACCCACGTAAATGCTGCGCCGCTTGCTGGGAAAACGGCGCTCACTTTCGACTACGCCTGGGCCTCCGGAACGCACACAAATACTGTGTCTGCTACTGCTGCAACTCGCTGCTTACTATTTCGCGGCCAGGTTAACACAAATGAAATATCAAATTAATTACACACACACGAGGACCATTTTCGCTTTGAAAAATACTTTTATTTGATTTATTTTAATTTACAACTTTCGAGCCGATCAGTTTTAGTGTCGAGTAGCGATTTAATGGCTTCCTTAAAGCCAGCCTACGATACACCTTCTAAAAACGAATGTGGATCGTAAGCTCGGCAGTGTTGACAACACACGCGATGTAATTTTATTATTTTGGGCAACATAAGTATTGCCATATTAGTTGTTACCACATCGCGTGGTGCCATTACACCAACCGCCTATGGGAAAGCCAACCGACGTTAGCACACCATTTGTGAAAATATTAAGATTTTTGTATTGCAATCGATAGTTCGTCGATTATTCTTTAATGTTCGTCCATTTTTAACGTTTCTTCGTTAGCCAAAAATGTATAATTAATTTTTCAATTTTCACTTTACGTAATTCCTGAAGTTAGCACCCGCAATAGATTATTTTGGGTTAATTATTATTGCAATCGATAGTTCGTCGTTTGTTCTTTATTGTTCGTCTATTTTTAACGTTTGTTCCTTAGCCAAACATTTATAATTAATTTTTTACGTTTTACGGTTCCTGCCTTTAGCACCCCAAATGTAAGAATTTCATTATTTTCATTTGTTAACTGTGATAAATCGTTTGTTCGTCGTTTTCTCATCCCTAAAATCGAGCAAAAGCCGTTAATAAATTCATCATTTTTACTTTACGTTAAACATTGCATAAACGTTTTAACAATAATTGGAATTGGGGCCAATGAGCTAAAAAAAAGTAGGCGTGGATCGCCCTATTTTCCTGATTTTAACGGCATATTTTTTTTGTGTGCAAAATATCAGGGGTGGCGCTAAGTGGACTAAACGTTCAACATTTTTAAAAGCTTATATTTCGAAAACTATTGAACCGATTTTAAAACTATGCACACAGTTGGAAAAATGATTGAAGCACCTTTCATTCGATATATATTTATGTATATAATGTATACATATTTTGAGGAAAAGTACAAAAACCTAATTATGGCAATTGTTTATAAAAATGTAGGTTTTTCGTAAAAATATATGTAATTAACTATGTTAACAAATATTATTATCAGAAAGAGCACAAAAATATCTTTAATTTGATGTATGATTTGTAACAAAAAATTCTTCTGCACATTATATTTGTTTAAATATATCGTTTTATATGAAAAAGAAAAAGCGCCGCAGGCAACAATTTGGAATAAAAAATCCCGCGATGTTTTATTCCAAATTTTCATTAGCTGTATAGTAAACTATCGTTTTATATAAAAACTTAAAAATCGCCGCAGGTATGTATATATATTAAAGTATGCTTTTATATAAAAAAAAAA